TGCTTATAAAAAAAAACTGTGACTAACGATTTTTAATATTTTTCATCTGCCTTTGAAACGATATACTAGGAGCCTCCTATTAAATTTTCAAGTTTTTTTAACCAACAAATAAAATTTTATTGATATTTCTAGAAAAAAAACTAAAAAAAAATGAAAAATGAAAATGTCTCTAAACAGTTCAAAATAAATCAAAATATTTTGAAAATGTTATCGTGTATAGAAAAGGCAAATATAAACAACCAGTCAAAATTTCATGTTCCTACAGTCATTTGTTTTAAAGTTACACCAAAAACCAAATTCGATTTTGTCAAAAACCGATTTTGCGTAAAAATTCCCGTTTTTCCTTAATTTTTATGTTGTTTTTCCCGGCGCTTGTGAAAACTATTGGGAATTTTAAATTTTGACCTCCCCAATGCACCAACGATTATTCACTTCTCAAATCGAACAAGATACTGAAGTCGGAAAATCGAAGCCTATTTCGACTATTATCGTTCTACACCCACACAAAAATAAATAAAAAACACACATCATCATAAAATCAATACATTCATCGTTTCACTCAGAATCTAAAAAACCTAGAATACTATTTGTTATATTGTTGTGATTGTATAATAATATTCGTGGGTACTTGAAACTTCTAAAGTACACTATTATATATCCATGGAGTATGGACTATGATAGTATCAGGGTTTGTTGTTGACGTATAACGCATTATAAGTACCTAATGGATAATGTGTAAATAATTTAATTATTATGGTACCTATTTAGGTAATTTTTTTATACGATACATAACAGGTGATTTTTATCGAAGAACCTCATTATTCAAAAGTATTAATTTAAGAAAATTTTTACAAGTTTCAAGTTAAAAAAATATTGTTAAAATTATATTTTTAAATATTTTTTATCCTTTTAATTTTTTAAGTTTTTTACTTTTTTGAATGACAACATCTAATTTTAATTTGATATTCAAAAACAGAATATTTTTCTGATTATTTTAATACATAAAAATTTAATTTAGGGCAAGTAGTTTATGAGTTATAAGTATTTAAAGTTTAGATGAGCGGAGTAGAGGACAAACATTTCGCGGGGTAACCCCGTACCACTCTACTCCGCTCATCTAAACTTTAAATACTTATAACTCATAAACTAATTGCCCTAAATTCAATTTTTATGTATCGAAATACTCAGAAAAATATTCTGTTTTTGAATATCAAATTAAAATTAGATGTTGTCATTCAAAAAAGTAAAAAAATTAAAAAATTAAAAGGATAAAAAATATTTAAAAATATAATTTTTTAATAAAAATATTGTTTTTTAACAACTTGAAACTATGTAAAAAAATATTTTCTTAAACATTAATACTTTTTGAAATAATGAGTGTCGATAATACTAATATGTCTTATACCTAGACTTCCATACCGTCTCCGCTCAAAATCGTTTTTCCTATACAATGATATTATATCATTGAATTCAAATTTAATAATATCCATTTTACAGTGATACCCACTCGTAACCTACTGTATAGCAGAGCACCTCTTTTTTAGTTTTTTTTTCTATGAATGTCAATAAAATTATATTTGTTGGGTAAAAAAGCTTGACAATTTAATACAAGGCTCTTAATATATTGTTACAATGAAATTTAAAAAATATTGAAAATCCAATCATAATTTTTTTTATAAGTATTTAAATTTCGAATTTTGACAAAATTTATCAAATTTGAAATTTATTTATTATTTTGTTGTTAAAAATGTAAAAAATGTTCAACTTTTATCTTTAAGTATTGAACATTTAAAACCAGGTTCCATGTAAATAGGTTACCTATGTATAAATTACTTTATTCATAATAATATTATATTATCATCATTCATAAAATATACTTAGTAATATCATACGCTGTGTGATAGCTTCGCTCAGAATCGTTTTTCTTATACAATGATATTTTATCATTGAATTCAAATTTAACACCATCCATTACAGTGACCCACTAGTAACCTATATACTGTACAGTAGAGTGATACCCACTTGCTAACCTTTTTTTTGTTTGTTGGTTTTCCCGATTATAATCAAAAGTTTGGGAATTCTCCCCCCCCCTCAAGTACCAGCTAGATTGAATTTGCCACTAACCACCCTTAAAAATCTAAAACATTTTTACTGCTTCAAAAGGTTATGATTAACACAAAAAAAAGGTGGGCAAAAATATTTTGAAATTGTGTATTTGTGTTATTCATATATTTAAAAGTTATAACTTATAATATAGTAAAAGTTTAAGTCCCCCAGAATAATGTTTTGAAATTGCAACAAAATAACTAATATCATTCTTCGTTCTTCGTTTAAGTATCTAATTATATATATAATACACAGATATTAGTGTATTACCTACAGTTGTTCTCAAACGGCCAAACTTTTCACGGAAAGCCCTCATTATGGAGTATGTTTACATTTTGGTGACCCAAAACAATAAAACATACTAATGACCTTTTTTTTATTTTATTTGATCACTAAAATTTTCAAAAACTTTTAATTTGACAGCGCTCATGGTGACACATCGGTACATCACTGGTTTTACAAGCCTGGTTTAAGATAAATTTAGGACACAGGGCCAAACAATTTTAGGGTCCCTTAAGGCCATAAACATAAGAAAAATATTGGTGACCCACAAATAAATATATTTCAGAGATAAAAAAAAATTTAGATACTTATTATATTATTATAACATTAATAATATACGTCTTCACTCTTCAATACTTATATTTGTAAAACAAAACACTAACATAAAAACGTAAACGTTCCCCACTATTATAACGTTTTGGCGACGCCCCCACAATGTCAATGCCAAGTTATATAAATATATATGACTTCAACTGATAACTGTACAACCTATCGTACAAAAACAACGTGAATAAAATTTGTTTGGCTCCAGGGGCCCACTATTGTTTGATATCCGTTATGGGCCACTGGTCATGACATTTTTTTTTAAATTACTAACGATAAAAAATTTTTCGCTTAGTTGAAAGGCTCGAAAATGTAATGTAAGGTTCCTTATATGTTTAAATATTGGATGTTCAAAAATGTTAATGATACAATAGCATGATTATTTTTTATATGCATTTAAAGTTCTAATATATCAAAAAGTCAAAAATTTTCAAACTATTTTTCAGTTTGAAATTTATAAAAGTTTTTCTTTTCATAACTCACATTTCAAATTTTAATTGAAGATTTCGATAAATTGTTCTACATTAACAAAAAAAAAAAATACCGAAAAGTAACATTAATTGTTTATGATCAATTGAATTTAAAAAATTAACGTTATTGGATTTTCACCGGTCAATTCATGAATTTTCATTTATTGATTTTTGATATTTTGTTGAAATTCAAAAACGATTAACCGACAACCTTAGACACTTAACATTTTCAAAATTACTATTTTAAATACATGCTAAAATGTTCAAACTATTTTGACTGTTTTTGAGCTATTAGTTAGACATTTTTAAAACTTTGTAAATTATTTTTGATTTCGAAATTTATAAAAGTTTTTCTTGTCATTTTAATAGAAGATTCCAAATAAGATTTTTGATCTATAACAAAAAAAGAAAAATTAGTGAAAGCGTACATTTTATGAGCTTTTAAACTTATAATTTTTACAATATTTCATATTCTGTGGTAAATTAACGAATTCCCATAAAACACTTTTATGAAAAATTACCAACAACTTTTTCTACCTATATTCCGGAAAATTATACGCTTTATATAAAACCAATATATTGTATTTTTGATTTTTATTAATTTTTTGATTTTAAATTTGATTTTCATACAAGTATGGTTTAGGATGACACAATGCTTCCGCTCAGAATCGTTTTTCATATGCAATGATTTATCATTGAATTCATTTATTACACATCCATGACAACGACATGCTCGTCGCTCGACAACTACTGTTCAGCAGAGTGGTATCCCTTTGTCCACGTTTCATATACTTGTAAGTTGTATTTATACACAAAATATTAATTGCCTTTTATATGTTCAATATACATACCTATATTATAATATAATCTAATACAGTAATACCTATTAAATATTTTATATAATCCAAAAAAATATCTAATTTTATCAGAACTTAGCGTGATTCATCAAAATTATAATCGTGATCCACTTTTGGGTTATGACGCACAGTTTGGGAACCTCTGATCTTTTATAATTTGGTGAAAATATAATATATTGATGTTGTCAAAAACTGGTTTTACATACCTAGTACTTACATAAAATCAGTCTATACATTCATCGCTCAACATTTTAAAACAAAATACAAGAAATATTCAGTGTTCATTCGGTTTTCCATAAAAAAAAAGGAATTTATTGTGTATTAAAATTTATTGCATATTATTCTGAATTATTTTTTAATAACTTCAAACAAGATTGAAATGTTTGAGACTATAATTTAGTATGTCATACCGAGTTTAGGAATTTTTTGTACCTATATGAATTATTATAATTTTATAAAGCTTTCAAATGCACAATAACAATATTCTCTTCTATCTTGTAAGTTGTAACAATATAATTACTGTCGCTACAGCAGTTTTTAAAATGTTCGTCATCAACAATAATAGATCTAGGTTACTGTGGAATAAAAATAGTATAATCCAGGTGAATCCATCTATAGGTACCTTGATGTTAATAATAACTTATATTTAGCCAAAACTAATCAGACATTAAATATTACAAATAATCTAATATTAAACATTAAACATAATAATGTTCACAATTTATGTGGATAATATTGTTGGCTTTCACGTATCAGCAAAATGTGTACCTATACAACTACCGATTAGGATGTTACGGATTATTCCCTTCTATATTTTTTACATGCCTTTCTATCTACGCAATACACATTTAAAATTACAGCTGTTCAGAATGATGTTTCAGTTGTTGTTTGACGCCCATAACCACTAGTCGACGTAGTCGTGTAGTTTTTATAACAAATATAAATACATTTTAAAACAAAAATGGATAAGTGGAATGGAAAAGTTGCTGTAGTTACGGGCGCTTCTTCTGGAATCGGAAAGGAGACTTGTAGACAACTGGTTGAAAATGGAATGATTGTTGTTGGTTTTGCTAGAAGAGAAGATAAACTACAGGTACGCTGTTGTGGCAAATTAATGTGTTAGGTTTTTAGCTGAAATTTTTTTGTGAAATTAATTAATGCTCAGCAATTTGTACTCACATGCGTGAGTTGCATGTGGAATTATTCTGCTGTGTGACTCTGACAATGACGGCTGGGCCGTGAATGCGACGGCAAGCATAGAGCCATTGCTTGAGGACTCAGTAGTCGACTCACATTTTTTCATCGTACATTAGTACATTAGTTATATCATTATTCATTATACTTAACTCATTATGTACCTACAATAGTTTCTATATCTTAAAATATAATACACGAAACACCGTAAATTAATCGAGACTTCTTTATTTAATTGAGGAGCCCCAAAAAATGCAGCCTTTCATGTTTCAGTCCGACACCGAACTTAGTTATCAAATTTGTAGGGACTAAAATCGTACAAATAGGTACAGACCATTTTAGATTCTGAGTTGAGCGATTTATGTATAAGTGTATACTTAGTTTTACAATATTATAATGATATGTTTTAATTTTTTTTTTATTTTATGACTGCATGAAGATACTTTTTTCAAGTAGAAATAATGCTTCTATATTCAGGGTTGTTAGTGAAAAAAAAATATGAATATGAAGTAAATATAAGAATTCTTAAATTAATACCCAACTATATAAATACAAACATTTTTAACCAAATATTTAAATAAAAATTTTCTATACAAATGATATACATTTTTAAAAATGTTGGTCTTAGTGCTATTTATTATCATTTGACATTTTCGAATTTTTTATTAATTTTTGATATATGTATCTATAGAAAAATTATTGTTTGTTAGCAAACAATGAACTCAAAACTTAATGCCGGCCTTAATAAATTGTTCTTACTGTTATTAAAAAAAATGTGAATACACAGTCTCTATTTTTTTTAAGGGGACATCGCACCTGCATGTATTGTCTCCGTCTTACATACCTATACGGCATAGCAAATTTTCGTTCGCTAGTTGCAATAGGGTGTGGTCAGTTTTGATATTAGAGTGAATTGACCTATTATCAAACTTTTAAGTAATTATCTGTGTTCTCTAATTGAGTCTTTACGATGTTTAAATTTTTAAGTGAAGTTTTTTTATGAATAGGTAAAACATTATTATTTGAAAATGTTCATAATTCACTTAAAAATTAAAATACCGTAAAGAACCAAGGAGAAAACACAGATAATGTTGTTACCTAAAAGTTTGATAATAGGTCAATTGACTCTAATGTCAAAACTAAGAGCACACATTGAAACTCGCGAACTAAAATTTGCTATGTAGTCCGTGTGTAAGACGAAGATAACACATGCGGGGGCGACGTCCTCTTAAGAATCTTAAATTCAAATGTTGACAAAATTCGTTAAAATCAAGAATATATGTAAATTATTTTATGATTAAACATTTATTAAATTTTAACAATTAATGTTTGAAAATTTAAAATAATATTTTATCTTATTCTGACTATACAATATTCATAATAAATATTAAATATTAGACATAGTTTGCATGTACTTATTCCTGTTTCACTATTATATTCTATAGGTAGTTATTGATTTCCATATCTATAGACTATAATATAATTATGTTTAATTTAAATAAGAAAATTATAATTTTATAAAATCTTTATATTTTAACAATAATTGGCACACCCTTATAAGAAACTTAAATGGCCCTTCTGGGCTCTAATAGCTAACAATATTATGTAATTTATGTGATATTTTTTTTTTTTTTTTTAATGAGTTTAACCATTTCAACCTAACCATATTACTTATATAAAAATAAATTACTAATAGCAGTATAAATATATAAAATATTTAATATAATATATGAATTATTTATTTATTGATTTCTGATTACATAATAGGTAGTTATAATATTATAATATCACTTGAAAATATGGCTGAAAGACCGTCCTCACATCGTTTTTTGGCATACAATTATTTATTGTCGAATTAAAATTTAAAACTTTCCTAATACAAACACTTAGGTAATCAATGACAAGTTTCAATCAACAACTATTGTAACTTCCCCGAATTTTTAAAAAGAGCTAGTGTTTTCTAGAACTAGTAATAGTAAGTAGTATAATGTGATGTCTAATCTAATATATTATTTTCAGGAGTTAGAAAAGGATTTAAAAGGAAAACTGGGAAAATTTTATTACGTTAAAGTTGATTTGTGTTCGGAAGAAAGCATTTTGGAAGCTTTTAATTGGGTAAAGAGAACATTGAAATCGGTTGACGTACTAGTTAACAATGCAGGTGTTTGGAAGCAAAGTGATTTACTGGGTAAGCTAAATTAATGTATTAATATTTATAGTATAAGTATGATTAATAGTAAGTACAAGTGTATAACGTATGTTGTATGTGTAGTAAAACGCAATAAAATATATAAAAAATATTAAGAAGGATACACAGCTCAACAGTTGTATATCAATATTATTATTAGGTAATTCAAATGTAAAAATGTAAAATGAATCATTTGGTGTTGTCTACCTGTAGGAAGAAATATTTAAACCATGACATAAACAATACAATTAGGTACAACGAATCAGGCCCGTTGTGGGGGGGCATATAGATTATAGATAGGTACATCAATAATTAGCAAATATTATATATTTATGTTTCTTCTTAATTTTGTAAGTACATTAAATTGTTTTTTATCAATACTATAAAATACAAATCATTGTTTTAATAATAACATTTTACTCGACGAGGATAGAAAATAACTCATTGAGTGCTTGGTTTTCATCCACATTTTTCGGCAAGGGGGGGGGGTGACTCCTCCCATTTTCAAACGAGCCAGCAACGAATTAATACTATATTAATATTATTTTTATAAATCTATATAATATTTTGTCATCTGAATGTATGATTAAAATTGTGTACCCATAAGACCCGAGTGTGCTGTCTCCGTCCAACTCATACCATAGCCCATTTTCAGTTCTGAATTTTCCCCAAGTTAGAAGGTATAATCCACACTGGTGGGCCTCCCTCCTCACCCAGTTTCGTGTTATGTACCTTATATAAGCTATCCAATTTACTTATTGTATTGTATATAAATAATAAATATTACAGATTGTAAATACTCTATTTTTATCTAATAAAAAAAAAAAGTTCTGAATAATCCTTTTTACTCTATTGTATTTAATATTGGAGTAATTTAATATTTTACCATATTCACATATAAAGATGTACTTACCTAAATATCAATTAGGCCATCGCCCAAAATGTAGGCTTTTTGATATTTTGAGTTTAAAACATGTTATGAGTCTATTATAATTTTTTGTAAATTTCAAAATACTCATAAATAGCTTTAAAATTAAAATAAACATAAAATCCAACGGGATATTTAAATAAAATTCTTACCTTTAAATAATAAATAGAACTTAGAAGTGTTTATTCGAATATTAAAAATATCTAACTGATTTAAAATGGATTACTCTGGTCTCTGGTAGTCTGGTCTCTGAATGTAGCACTGTCTAGGATTGAGTCATGACCACAGTCTACAAATATATAAATATTATATATTTCAATATTTAGATTTAATCATTTTAACCAGATGCACGCAGCTTAACGTGGATGTAACAGGCAGTTAGCTATTTTGTTGTAATTTAAAAATAGTTGGTTATTAATAGTAAAATAAATTAATTTAGTCTTTAATAGTATTAATATCATACAAATTACGCATTTAATAATTAATATAGGCTGACTGACCGTTTTCGCTCAGAATCGTTTTTCGTATGCAATGATTTATCATTGAATTCTAATTTTACACTTAGGTACAGTGACTTACTATTCAATGACAAGGAACAATTTACACCAACTACAGCAGAGCGCGGTTACCTACTTTCCCCGATTTTATTGTTAATAATTTCATATTTAAAATTTAAATACAATTTGAGAGGGTAGTAGTTACCTACGTGTAATCGATAATCAATGAAAAAATAATATTATTGACATTTAATTGTAATTTCAACAAAAACTGTTACCATTATTAAAACTTCCAGGAAACACGAATGATTGGAAACAAATGTTTGACACTAATGTCATAGGTTATACCATTTGTAGCAGAGAGGCCATACAAATCATGGAGGAAATAAAAATCAAAGAGGGTCACATAATAAATATTAACAGGTAACTATTTAAATTTAAATTTAATAAAATTGTATGGATGTTATTATATTTTATCATAGACCTATTAACTAGGTTAATATGTATTTTATAATAAACTTCAAAGAAAAATAAACACCTCTGCAGTATTATCGTTCAGGATTCTAGTGTTAATAGTTATTAATTATCAGCTCGTTGATTGGCTGATGTCTAATCATTTGTTGAAGCTTAATCGAATCCTCCAAAATGTCAGATATAATAGGATATATATTGTAATTTAATTTCCAAGCCTTACCCTAACTTATGTGGGATTACTGTAATTAGAACCCACCTTAAATTGTAGTGTTGCAGGTCCGTCTTCCAATGCCATTTCTGAAGGATATTTCAGTTTATAACCGCTACCCAAACATAGTGTCCTTTCAATTACAGAAAAGTTAAGAAATTGATGGGCAGGAAAAGGGTGAGCCCATCCAGAGTCACGTAATAGACAAAGTATTTTGGTTTATACTATAGCGAATAGCTGTATAAACTAATATATATTATAAGTTATCACCAAAGGTTTCTATCTGTCTCTACTCTAATATCCTTAGTTATTAAAACTCACTTATGTAGAATCGGAAATCGATATCAATATACCATATTGATTAATCGGTTATACATTAATTTGTATGTTATCTATATTTTACCTATTTAACGTATATTAATAAAGTGGTCCGATACAGCCTGCTGACCCATAAATCTATATAATAGTATATAAAAGAAGATGTCCGAATATCCGATACACTCTCTCGTGCATACCCAGACGAAACTGTTGGACTTGAAATGTTGATGGTACTATATATCTCTAATGTGGTTTAAGGTTGAGATATGAAAGGATATAAAAAAATTGCATTTTAAGGATGGTACATACAAAATGTTGTTTCTGCAACGGAAATCTAATATTTTTTGTATATATATATATATATATATAAAATGGTTGCCATTTATTTAAATAATTATTATGATTGGATATAATTTTCATTATTGTATTTTATAACAGTCATAGAAACTATTTACATAAATATAGTTATGTAGGATTTATTTGGAAAAACCTAATACACGTGTTTTTTATGATAGGCAGGCACGGACTAGCTGGGATGCTGGGATTCTAGTCATCCCTTGCCCTAAAATATATTTGCCTAATATTATATATTTAAAGACTCTAGACACCTAATAAACAGCACATCGTTACCAACTTACGATTATTTGTAATCTAAAATATTGTACAATTTTGAATTTTGATTGAGAGTTTGTTGTAACTTGGTACTTATTTACGTTTTTAACGTATAGGTATTCAATATTTTTTTAAAACAAAATTTAGAAATATTTTAGAAATAATCTACATGTTTTAAATTTGCCCCTACAATTTTTTTTATTTGCCCTTTACATTGTGTAGCCGTATCGTGCCGTATTTTACCAGTCCACGGCCGATGATAGGATATAATTATAAACCTAAATTTTATATTTGATCAAAACAACACAAATAACTGTGTTAAAAATCTGTACAATTTACATTTAATAGAGTTTAAGAAAGGATAAATCTAGGGGCATTTAATTTGTAACGAACAACTCTGCGCCCTGCAGGATCAGCTAGTTGAATATTAAGTTTAATGTTTATTATTATTTTTTGATGCCTGACGGTTGATATTATTTGAGTTTAAAATTATTTTAGATACCTACATGATACTTTCTTTAATAGTTTTTTTTAAAAGAACATAGGTAGTAAGTTTCATCTGGGTTTTGAAATTTAAATTTTTTAGTTCTTATTGTCTATAATTTATATAATGTGGTGCTTAGTATGTATAAGTGAATGTAATTTCTACGTTATTTTTGTCTCAGATTAATAATATAATATATTATAATACATATTGCAGGCACGTAATATTAATAACATAGGTAATAATAGGCTATTATTAATAGCATATTATCAACATAGTCAATGCTGATGTAATACACATAACTTTTATTTCCTGCAAATTATTTTAAAACTTAACAACTAAAGTAAGAGAGATAATTATGAGTTATAAGTTATATAACACACACAACAATTTACTGCTTATTAAATCCTCACAGTTATTTTTTTTTTATTCTATTAATTAACAATAAATTTGTTTCAAAATTACCCATATTACAAAATATTCTATTTCATTTTTAAATTCAAAGTGATAAATTAATATTCCGTACTTAGTTTTATAAACTTTTAAATACATAGTTTTAGTTAAAAATGTATCATTTTAATTTCAGAGTATCAGCCCGGGTGCAGTAGAAACCGAAATGACAGAAGAGTTAAGCAAATTAGGAGCGATTACGATGTTGAAATCTATTGACATTGCTGAAGCTATTATCTACGCAATGAGTGCACCGCAGCGTGTCAACGTAAGAAGAAAATCATTTTTGTATAACATTTTTAAGCATTCATATTATAATCATTGGCAGAAATCGTGGGGAGGGGAGAGATGAGGGGGCTTTGCTCCCCCCAAAGTCTGTCAAGCCTCCCTCCTTTTTAGTTTTATAGGATCGAAGCCCTATACGTCGAATTTGCACGACCTTGTTTTTTCGTTATCGAAGCAAAAGAGTGTTCGAAGTGATCAGGGTGATGTGATTTCAGCCCACACATGGTTAAAAATTATACATTTATATAGGATAACTGGTTAGACTACACCATAAAATTATTTAGTACTTTATTTCGTATTCGTAGTCGTACAAATATTTTAATTATTTTAACGATTATCGTTCGGCGGCAAATGATAACTATGTTTTTCAAAAAACACCGTCATACCCGCAGTATACCCAGTTCCAACTCGAAATCGAAATTGTAATGCTTTCATTATTTTTCCTATATTTTAATATATAATATGCATGAATTTGTAAGATCTGTCCCAATAATTGGACTCCACCTCCTCGGTAACACATTTTTTTTTTAAAACATGCCGTTACTCCCACCATTGTTTCATTTTTTCATTTTTTCATTTTTTTCCTGTACTAGTATTTCATAGATAACTGGCATGAATCGTAAGACCATTTTCCAAATAATTTTGCCTTAAGACCCCCTCCCCCCACACACATACAAACCGATGATGTTGGATTGTTTTTTTTGGTCCCACAATTTAGTACATAATTATATCCGTTTTTTCGTGTTTATAAGTTTTAATTTTTACAGGTCTCCGAAATCATCATAAGACCAACAGGCGATAATACATTATCTTTTATTAAGAATTTTGCATAGATATCAATTATGATTAATACACATCCGTGATCCGTACCTTAATATTAAATAATATAAACGATTTATATGCGTATAATAGGTACGTATATCACTTTTTAAAAATATATATTTAATATTATGTAAGTATATGCAATATGCATATCTTATAATATGTATATTGCATACAAGTTTTATAATGGATAATATGTTTTAATAAGCCTGGTTGATAACCTATCTATTTTAAAAAAAGCCTATCAATACCTTTACATAATTCTTATGAATCTTAAATACCTTTCAATAGTGATTAATGTTATCATATACCAACTTCACCCATGCCCACTGGTCAGTGGCACTACCAATCAACACTCGTCAGTCGTCACAACTTCATATTGTTATACTCACTACTCAGTAAAGCAGATTTTTGTTTGTCAAAATAAAAAACCTTTCAATATATTATTGTATTACTATTTATTATAGAAATCGATTAGATAGGTATTATTCTTTATTTTGTAATTTGTTTTTCTCTTTTTAATAAATGTATTGATATAGGTAAGCATACGATTTCTTTGTTATGTTGCTTTGAGCTGTTGGACGTTTATAAATAAATAACAAAATATTATATTTATCTATTTCAAATGCAGACAAGAAAAAATGTTTTTTATTAAAAATATAAAAATGGTTTTAATTTCCCAGAATAATTTCACTAATTCATTACAGACAGCCTTAAATATGAATGTAATGATTTAGTTGGAAAGTATTAACATTAATTATAAATACCTAGTATTATTTATAATCAATGGTATTAATTAATGATAAAATGCATCATTTATCTTTATTGTATTTAATACAATTCATTTTATTTATAATTATGATTTAGTTATACCTACCTAAACCTAATAACTAAATACTAATAACAGTAATAATATTTTATAATTTGTATACCCCATGACCTATAGCATACACTATAAAATCAAAGTCGACCAATTAATAAGTTAATAACACGCCGAATAATTACAATTGTATGTAAATATATTATATTTTTAAATTGTAGTATACATTACTTTATCAACTATGCGCATACTATGTATGAACGGAGATGGCGTTGGAACGAGACTTGTGTAGCGGTCCAAAATATTATTATTTATTATTAAACATATTGTAAAGTAATCAAAAGTAGTTAAATTTAATGGAACTCCCGACTTCGTGATAATACAGAACGATAGATAGATGAAACTATGTACTGTACTACTGTAAAGTTTTTATTAATAATATAATACTTTTTTTAACCAAAAATGAAAAATTGGGAAGAATGCTGTAGTAACGGGCACGTCTTCTGGAATCTGAGAGGAGACATATTATTGTAGACATCTAGTTGAAAAAGGAATGATTGTTGATGGTTTTGCTAGAAGAGAACTTAACCATCTCCGGGTACCTATATGGTTTTTGCAAACTAAAAAGTTATATGTGTATAAAAGAATTAATTAAATTTTGCTAAACATTAATTGTACTTAGGTATGAGGCATATTAAATGGTTTCAATGGTTTCATAAAAATTAAGTGTTACATCTCAAACGTTGAATAAAGATTCGATCTACTCTATACTCAACTGTTCCTACGACGCGTGTGTACAATCAAAGTACTCTAGTATATAGTAATAGTAATGTATTGGCTATTTAGCTGCTGGCGAAACAACTGTTTTAAAAATAGAGTTCATACCTCCGTTAATTTTGTGCAATGGTAAAAACAACAAATCCATCTAACATAGGTACCACGAAAATTACTTAAACTATCGTATTTAAAATATAAAACAATTGAAATCTAAATTTTCTATTTTTCTTTACGTATTTTTATTTTTTACTTAAGGGTCCCGGTACCAGTTTTTCAAATTGTTCACAATTCTATACAATTTGAAAATTAAATTTTATATTTTAGTTTTCACCTCAATTATAAGACTTTTCCACTAATCTACTGCCCGATACCTATTTAGGGGGGGGGGGGGGTTATAGGGTGTATTGTATCGAAAAAAATTACTATAATACGGGAATAACTCTCAAGCTTTGTAGAATTGTCGGATTTTGATGACTATTTTTTCATCTGAAAGAAGAAGACTTCCTACAGCCCGCATCGATCTCTGATTTTGTATTTTATTTCA